AAGCAGTCTTGATAGTCAATGGTGGGAGAGGTTGGGGTTTGTAGGTCGCCTTTAATGGAGGAGCAAGTGGGTAGTTGGATATGAGTTTAAAAAAGACATCCAAACCATTTTGATCTTCCCCAATAGGAATATGTAGCTTGTTTAAACCACCATTGTCGTGAAACAGTGCAACCTCTATATGTGTACCTTTTTTATTGGTGATTTTTTCAACCCAAATGGTCTGCTGGACGAATCTTTCCTCTCTAAAAAATTTCTGATTTGAAGTAGCTGTGAGAAGGGCTCGGATAACCGTTACCAGCCATCTCAAAGAACCCCAATGTAAGATAATGAAAGAAAGTCTATCATTGTGGTCTCTGTAAGTTTCACCCTTGTGCCTCTAATTCTGCTGTCCATCTTAATAGAATCTTTCTATCAATGGTGGTAGTTCTCTTCTTCAAGGGAAGGGTTGTTGCCATGACCTCCACAGTATATCACTCTAGATGCATCAATAATTTTGGGAATATAATTTAGAACTGGATAAACAAATTCTTTGAAATCATTGTTCATTCATCAACGTATGATCACCCATCTCTTCCACCCTATCTCTCCACTCTCTCGCTCTCTCTATTTTATCTTAAACTCCAAGCTCAATGGTAATTGGAGAAACCCCTAATCCAAGAGCCTGACTTCATTCAGAAGTAATAACCCTCTACAATAATCCAATGTCCAGTAATTTTCGTCAATTGCCTACATGCCAAGGATATGAAAACTTGCTGCTCATACCCCTTGGTTATACAAAATCCTAAATTGCTAATGCCATGCAACAATCACTCATTAAGGTAGCAAATACAATGCCATTTTTAGTTTTAGCTATATGATATACCTTATCAGCTGCAGCTTGTAGGGTAACATGGTCCCCCCATTCACCAGATCTGCATCATATAGTAAGAAATCAGAAAGGAAATCTTTTCCTCAAGAACGTGTTTAATGTCGGTTAATCCGCAGATGAACATTGATTCAATGAGAGAGAGAGGGAATTGATCTTGAACAATTTCACATACTTCGCCATTTTCTTGTAATAACGACTGAACTTCATTGGAATATAACCCTCATATAGAGAACGGTAGTCCTTTAGCTGGAACATGAAAACAAACCCAGATGTGTGATACTCAAGCAGGATATTCACCCTTAGTTGAAAACTCTGTTCACTTTAAATTGGTATCGAAACATGGGTGAGACGTTACCAGTCACAGCTGACAAGTCTAACAGGTCATATTTAATTTATATATGTTGATAAAACTCTGTATGAGAGAACACCTCTGATATGACAAAATGCAGACCGAAGTTGCAGATTCTAAAACAGTAAAAGTGAAATTTCAGTGGAAATAATTAGATCTTGGAAAGTCACTTCTCAAATTACCACTTGTTCTCCCATTCCCAACTACTCGGACCACATGCTACATTAACCCTCCCTACTTCCTCCTTCAATTGCCTAAGCTGAGCTTTTCATCCCAAAAGCAAAAAATAAAAATAAAAATAAAAACCACTAATCTCCCTAGTTCAAGCACCTCAAGATAGGACAATCTACCTGCTTTACAATGTCTTTTCGCACAAGCTTGTGATACTTAGGTGATTTGAACATCTGATCTGAAAGTGCTCGAAACTGCCATATAAGAAGAAACTACAGGTAGGTTGTAGATAAACCAGAAGCTTCTACTTCTTACTTAAAAGGTTTACATACCTGACAATTTCCATCACCAGAGACCTTCACTTCATGCAAACCATAGACATTTAGCCTGAAACAGAATGAGATAAGAACTACTTCACCACATGTGGTAGGAGAGAGAAGAGAAGCCCAGGGATAGATGGAAAATTTTATTGACATTAAACATACACTTGACTTATATCACCATCAGTTTTTATCTGGGTCCTTTTAATGAAGTCCCTCTTGACAACACAAGAACATAATGAAAAACAAGGCAATCCTTATTGGACTTTAGATATTATCGCAAATGAATAAGAAGACTACAATTAAGAAAGAAAGAAAACCCATAATGAACTTAGTTCACGTTGTGAAAAGAGGGAGATACAGAATCAAACCGCACCCTAAAAGAATAAAAATGTAGGATAGAATTTGAATGGCTCAAATTAGACTGTAGGATAATAAGCTGACTCAGACTCTCAAATATCCTAAGTTGTCGAAGTTAGTGATCATGATGACTTGCTATTCTTCATTATGGTTTTTAAGTTTTAGTGAGATTTGTTTGAACTATTCCTCAATCAAAGAATTAACTATTGCACAGAAAATTACATCCCTTTAAGTCTAAGCCTAAACAATAATGACAGCAATTAGACAAGTGGATCTGTGAACTTCAACACGATCATGATTACAAAATCATCCACCTAGTAAATTTAAGAACTTGCACTATCTCAACTCCCTGGAAGTAACTTTCAATCTACTGATGCTTAATCATGAATGTGCATGTCTCTTTATATATATATATATATAGGGAATGTGCATGTGTCTCTTTTAAATATTCTTTAACAGTTGTTATTTATGTTAAATTTTATCATTATTCTACAAAGAGAAAGGGTGGTATTTGATATATGTAGAGCCATTTTTTCACCAAGCGGGCAAGCTATCTTTTACTTTGAAAAATGCGGGAGACATACCTCTGAAGAAGCCTATGATATTCCAAACTGGCATCACTTTGGTTCGGGATATACAAATTTATCCTTGGAGCATGCTGGAATACCATGAAAAGTGAAGTCATATGAGGTTCGGTAATATCTTAACATATTAAAAAATTTGTAATATCTTTCTCTCGAAATTTGTAAAAATAGTTTATGAACAATGACGGAACAAATAGAACAAGCACCTCAGAACATTCTATCAGAATAAAATTTTAGGACAACGATCTAAAAAGAGAAGGAGTTTCACAATTAAATCTGAGAAGTAGTTATTAATAAGCTTCTTTGATCAGATTCCCCATTTATAAATCGAGACTTTCATAGTTAGTTCCTTAAAACTCGAACCAGATATAAAGCGATTGGTAGTTTTATCTTCATAAGAAAATATTTTTTTTTAACAAAAAGGCGCATGCTATAACAAAATGAAAAGAGCAAAGATTCATACAGCAATAGGGGCAAGGTTGGCGAGGCGTCGGGCAATAGCACCGTCTAGCTTAGCATACTCTTCTGTCAATACAACAGCAATCATGTGATCGTCGTCAACGTCCTCCAGATGAGAGCTCAACGAAGTTGAACTAGAACATTCTCCAAAGTTCGGAGTTCCCGGCCTCATGCTGCCACTTATCAATAACTCGCCAACACTTTGTAAAAGAACGGAAGAAAAAATCCCAAATTTAAGCTGTAGATACAGAAAAAAAAGGAAAAAAAAAAAAACCCCGTTCGACGAATGTGAAATTCGAGCTCAATCTATTCAAAAGTGAGAATGAAAATGGTAAATTTCTTGGAGAAGACAAAAGCATAATATGGCTAATCCTACAAATGTGCGTGCAACCACCATAACTGGATAATATAAGAAGATGATAAAGAAGGCAAGGTACAACAAACAAATTAAAAATCAAATACAGGATTTCTTATTACAGTAAAAGAGCATGGAACGCGCATAGAACAGACAGGCGATGATCTAAATATAAGCACATAATCGATCGCTAAAAGAACGAAACAAAAAATGATAAGGCCTATCTTCTTCAATGGTTAGCAGATTACAACTACCGGTATTAACAACGAAGCAATACGAAAATAATATCAAGGAAGAACAGAATCAAATTAAGCTGAAAAAGAGAGAGAAATCAAATTAACCTGCAACTGCAACGGGCAAAGAGGTGGAAATGATAAGATGAATGAACAAAGCGGGAGGAAATCAGGAGATTGTTGGAGGAAAGGGTTCGAGAATTCAGAGACGCGTGAAAGTTGAAATGGAAAGGACCCAGGGTGAGCATGTGGTTTACGCGGGTTCCCCCTGGGCGTAACAGTTAATACCCGCAGATGGGACCCAAACCACATCAACCGGACATTTTATTCTATTCCTTAAATTACTTTTTCTCTTTCTATCATATTAGGGTTGGTTTATATTTAGAAAAAACTATGCTAAACAATGCTCTCCAACAATATTTTACCTTTCAAAATGGTTCACAAATGGTCTATGATAGTCGACCATTGACACGGACCCTTGAATGAAAGCGTGAATATTTGAGGTGTAAAAACGATCGTGAAAATTTTTATTGGTTTAAAAGAGGGAATAGAGTGAAAATGATGCAAGAACGATGGAGGTTAGAACAAAAGTGTGATAAAATAGATCATAGAAGGAGAAGAGGATTCGAGAGAGTTGATTGAATTAAAATGATGTGAATATGTCATCAATTGAACACTACAAGACAACTCGCACTAAAATCTCAAACAATGCACAATCAGAAAACTGCAAGAAGACAGCTCGAAGGCTGCCTTCTGAGTAAAGGGAGGGTTTGCTATAGTGATTCGGGTGGTTGGTGTCCTCTTCCTCTTCGAGAGTTGCAGGTCCTTGCCGCTGTATGAGTGGTAGCTCACGCTCAAAACTCCTTGTACACGAGTCCTAGTCGTTGCGCAGCGATCTGTTTTCTGGCTTCGCTTGCACAATTTGCACTGATGATTGGTTTCATCCAGCTTCAACCCTACTGAAATTGAGTATTAAGGGGTCAATCAATCAAGCGGTTCGCACTAAAATTTTAAGCAATGCACGAAAACTACAAGACAGCTCGCACTAAAATCTCAGAAGACAATTCGCACTAAAATCTCAAACAATGCATCAAAGACAGCTCACACTAAAATTTCAGACAATGCACCAATCAGATCATAACTCAAAGTGTCGAGAACATTCTCTCCTTATCAAATCATTGTGAGAACATTTGAAATATTTTTCAAACATTAAGAATATTATTGATCCTGACTTAATGTAATAAAAACATATATTATTGATCAAAAGATCGAAAATTCAAATCCGGAAGCTAAAAAACAAATAAAAAAAACTTGGAAGCTTCTCATATTTTCCACCCTTCTTGAACTAAAAAGACAGAAAAAACCAACCACAACGCGGTGTTGAAAAAATGGTTCAATTCCACCTGTGGAAATTCATTTACATGGACGCTTTTCTTTCCTAACCAGCAATAACATTGACCATATCACACCCCAATTAATGATATCATCTCTCAACACACAGTTTCAATCTAATGTTCAGCTACTACAAATGGATGTAGCACTGGTTGCCTTGACAATTGGATTTTCTCTGAGTTGCAACGCACGACTCATTAGTTTCTGTATGAAGTAACAACATTCTAGGATCGTAGCAGCATCGGCGTAGGATCGTAACAACATTCTGGAAGAAAGAAATTGTTAATTTTGTTTTTCAGTAATACTCGACCAAAATGGAATTCATTGACTTCGAATAACAAATAGCATCCCTTGCAGCTAAAATGATCGAGGATTACCATTCACCATCTAACTTTTTTGGTTGGAGGAGGCTTCGCCCGGTCTCACAGCTAGGAAACACTCTGATCACACTGAGAGTGACGAAAGCGCAGGTGCATTTCATCAGCCGAAGTTCAAACTTAGTGCATTGCTTACCTTCGAAAGCTTCAAATATCATGCATCTCATTCTGTCAGCAAACCGCAAGGATTTTACTGCGTGTCATAACAAAGCTCCAGTACCTCCACAGGCTCACAAATGCCCCAGGTACTGGGAAATTTCACAATGCCAACAGACGTTACGGAGAACGGGATCCATAGTTTGTCTTCGTTAACTTTGCGTCGAAACTATGAACACTGACAATGTAAATGATCTCATAAGACCGAAAATATATTCGTTAAAGGTAGATAGAACTTGGTATAGAAATTCTTCCACAAATCTATATCAAGTATACTTCCGTTTCCTCCCATTTCTGGCCGCGTGCAAAGAATTTACTGTATAATGTGAATTCGAAAGTTCTCGAGGTATAGGTGCTCCAGACGACTTTAAAATCTCGACTAAATCTTGGAATAAATTCTTATTTTCCCCATTCACAAACACTATGGCTTTGCCCTCCTCTCCAAGTCTAGATGCCCGACCAATCTGGTGAACATACTCCTTGATGGAATTTGGCATGTCAAATACAATCACCTGCCTCACACGCAGGAGATCCATCCCTCGACCCAAAATCCCGGTAGCCACCATCACTTGAACGTCTCCCACCAGAAATGACTTCATGGCTTCTCGTCTCTCCTTCATGGACTTGTGCCCGTGAATCGACAATGCCTTTATCCCAGTGGTAACAGTAATTGCATTAGAAAGTAGATCGGCCCCAAGCCTTGAGCCTACATATACTACAAGAGGTGGCATAAAATGTTGCTTGCTTGCTAATATATCGAAAAGCTTTTGCTTCTTATTCTTTGATTCAACCCAGATAACAAGCTGCTTCAAAGCCTTAGTTGGTTTATTTGACATGCCAGCAGTTATAATAACAGTACCATCTCCCATAGTTCTTGCCATCTTCTCTACTTCCGGAGAGGTAGTTGCGGAATACATTAAGATTTGTGGTCTTGAAAGAGCCGTAAAAATCTGTAATACCTGATCGCGAAAGCCTTTTTGGAGCAAGCAATCCACTTCATCCAGAACAAACGTCTTCAGCTCATCGAATTCAATATCATGCTTCATCAAAAGATCAACCAACCTGCCTGGAGTAGCGACAATCAGCTCAACTCCTTGCTCGATACGATAGACCTGTCCAGCTAGGGCATCACCACCGACAACAAGGGCAGTTTTAAATGGCATACCTTTTCCAAGCAACTTAGCATGTTCTTCAACTTGAATGCAAAGCTCTCTAGTAGGTGTAAGAACCATAGCTAGTGGCTTCTTTTCGCCATGGCAATTCTCGAGACGAACACGAGCACAGTAAGAAACTATTGGGACCAGATAGGACACGGTCTTTCCAGAGCCAGTCTCAGCTGAAACAAGCAGATTTTTACCCAAACAAGCAGCTGGTATAGCTTGCATCTGGACAGCTGTGGGCATCTCGTAGCCTGCGGTCTCTAGATTTTGAAGGAGCTTCTGAGGAAGGTTACAGGAAGAAAATGACAATGTAGGAGCACAACCTATGTCTCCCTTTATAACAATTCCAAGTTTTCTCCTGAGCAATTCAGTCTGCTCACAAGTCAAAGAAGAAGATCCCGAACAATTAGAATCCTTCACATAAAAGCACTCATCAGCTGCAGGAAGTCTTTTAGGAGGTGGAAAATCAGAAGGCAGTGCGTTCCTATTAGCCATTTTGCACAGGACTGACTGTTTACATTCCATGCTGCAAATATCATCATCTGTCTCGTCACATATATACTCACCATAGCGACCACAAACAACACATTTAGGTTCGCCAGGCAAAGCCTCTCTCTGATCTTTACATTTCACTTTAACAGCAGATTCTACATTAGAAACAAAAGTTCAAGGAAGATTATACAAAATCCAGGCATTTATTAAGCATTCAAAAGTTGCTGGAAAGAAAAAATAAACCACTAGTAAAACCAACGAGATAAATTCCCAAAAGCGCTGCAATAATTTTCCTGTTGTGCTTCCATTTTATGCCAACCATGACTGATCACTTCTATTAGTTCGTCTATAATCATGCATCAACAGACACGATCAATCATACATTTGGAAATCTAATTGTTCGAAGTGGATCAAAGATAGTGCATGAACTTATGTTCACCTCAATTACTTCCTTTCAATCATTTGAAAGAAACTAAGCTATGGGGAAGTTACCACTCAAAAGTAACTCCCTCGACGAATACCTTACCAGTGTCCAAACCCAACAACACTACCTGGAACATAGACGCTAAAGATATAACAGGAAAAATAACAAGGTTTCATAAGAAAACTAGGAATCTGCACATTCAAATTATGAAACAATTGCTGACAGGAACTCTGAAAATGATGGATTTGAAACAGGAAAATTGATTGTAGTGGAGATACCATACTCCTAATTAGGACTTATATTAGAACCTAAAGCAGATGCAGATTCACCTATCCGATCCTAGAGAACATTTGTGTGATGTCCCATATTGGTTGGGGAGGAGAACGAACCACCATTTAGAAGGGTGTGGAAACCTTCCCCTAGCAGACGCGTTTTAAAGCCTTGAGGGGAAGCCCGAAAGGGAAAGTCCAAAGAGGACAATATCTGCTAGCGGTGGATCTGGGTCGTTACAAATGGTATTAGAGTCAGACACCGGACGATGTGTCGGCCTTCTCGCTGTAGCCTTCTCGCCGTTCCCCGAAAGGGGTAAACACGAGGCGGTGTGCCAGTAAGGACACTGGGCCCCAAAGGGGGGTGGATTTGGGGGTAGCCCCACATCGATTGGAAGAAGGAAAGAGTGCCAGCGAGGACGCTGAGCCCCGAATGGGGGTGGATTGTGATGTCCCACATTGGTTGGGGAGGAGAACAAACCACCCTTTATATGAGTGTGGAAACTTTCCCCTAGCAAAAGCGTTTTAAAGTCTTGAGGGGAAGCCCGAAAGGGAAAGCCCAAAGAGGACAATATCTGCTAGCGGTGGATCTGGGTCGTTACAATTTGACTTCGCATTTTCAGACAAATTAACCATTTACTTGGGCTATTTTTCCTTTCAGCCATAAATCAAAGCAAATTTAGTCCTAGAGCAGCGAACTATGCAGTAAAATTCCTAGGTACATTGTAATCTCCCTATTCCTATCCCAGTTATTTCAGTTAATTGGCATCATAGTCAATTAGCATGACTACGACAACAGACTTGACAGTTATACAAGTGCATGATAGGTTCCGCCAAACTCAATGGATTGAAAAGAACTAGATTCAAATGTTAAGATATTAGCAAGAATTCACCATGTCGGTATTGGATGAGCAAAAATATTGACAAGTACATTAAAAACATGAATAACAAAATATGTTGGGGAATGAAGGAAAAAAGAAAAAAAAAGAACCTAGCCAAAAACGATCAAGTAAGCATAACAACGTCAAATGATACATATCAATGTAACAAAGCAGTAAAAACACACATGTTCTTGTGTCTCAAAGAACCAAAACCCTCTTTTTTTACCTCCAGATTCATCAGTATCTGTCGCCTTTGACAATGATTGAGGCACATAATCCTTGTTTCCATTTTCCATGACTGAAAAACTGAGTATTATTAAGCTTGGAGGAAGAAAGACTCGAGCATGCGCATCAGTTCCTGCAAAATAAATAAACAATCTCCACCATAAATTTAAAGGACTGAGCAACTAGTTAGGGATTGATCATCCATACCATCAAGGGTTTTGTATGGGAACACTAATCTTCTCAATCCTTTAACAGGCAAATAACATCCTGACTTCTAAACCTAGGCTCACTCGAATCACTTGATCAATTGTTTAACGGAATCGCTACCAGAAAATTGGTATCGTCCCCACAAATTGTATCTCCCACTACCCCAATTAAATTCTTCGATGTAATTTAGGTGAGCGAAAAATGTATCAATAAATTTTTTCACGATGCGTATTATGTATGAAATCTCGAATGGAAGATTTTGGTGGAATGATCTGCAACAAACAGGACAGAATTGAACAGAAGAGATCGAGGAAGATTACCTGGAGTATAAGGGCCGATCGTTCGCTCGCAGAACAAGATCTCAGTTTATCCGGCGGTTGAAAATTTTCGCTCTCTTTTACATTTGAGCGAACCGTGTAGTGTTGAGCTAGCGCTGGCGCTAGCATGGAAATTTAGTAGGCTAATATTTTAATTAATTTAAATCAATTTTATTTATTTATAAATGTGTTTTAAATAACAGCTTAATATTTGTAATTTAATAAATATATTTGATTCTTAATTAATTTATTGATTTACCAATAAATTCTATTAAATATTAATAATTTAAATGAATAATCAATTAAAATATTAGAAGTTTGAATCTTACGGTAAGACTTAGACGATACGAAGAATCAAATTAGATAGACATATCTATTTCGTTTAGGAAGAATACTTCGAGTAGTGGGTATCTCGTAAGACCGAGATATGTTCATTCGGGCCTTGTATGAATATGTTGGAAGCGGCACTCCTAGGTACGGGTAAGGTAGATTCCTTGTCAAGTTTAGGGGGCGTGAACACAATTGCAGGTCAAATTAAAGTAACGATACCCGACTAGAAATAGGCGTAAGCTCGAGAAAGAATCGAGAAGATAAATTAAAGAGTTCATCACTAAATACAAGATTTGATTCATAAAAACAGATTAAATGCATATATTAAGAAGAAAGCATTTTGTGATATCTATTAAGAGAGTTCTGCTTCTGCATCCTCATCTGGCTATGGAAGTTCCGTATGAACAAATCAGCCACATCATCAATATCCTTCTCCAAACTGAACTCCTCGCCGGCCTCCTCCTTCGAATTCTTCACCATCTCAATCACCGACCACCCATTTGTTCTTCCGACAGCCGCCTCTGTTTCCAGCTCCGCCCACTCCCCTGTTTTTGCCCCTGTTTCTTCCCCTGTTTCTGCCCCTGTTTCTGCCCCTGTTTCTTCCCCTGTTTCGGCCCCTGTTTCTTCTTCTACTACTCCCTGATGTTCTTGAGCTTCTTCGAGCTCGGCGGCTTGAATTTGGCACTGATTTTGTTGATGGATGACCGTGGATAAAGGGATTGAGGAGACGAGGAAGTTGGATTGAGCTAGCAATGAGTAGATGATGAGGCGAGCTTTGAGTGCTCGAGCTTTTCTTTTCACCATGGCCCTTAACCCACAGGCCATTTGCTTCACCATGTTGCTCAATGATTCCTTCTTCATATTGTGGTTCAAATTCTTGATAATTGGATGGTCTGTTAAATAAGTGAAGGCGACTGAAGCTGATAAGAAACAGAGGAAGAAAGGAAGAGTGGTGGTTAAGGAAAGGTAGAAGAGAGTGATATATGGAAGCGATTCAGGACATCTGGCGGAATGGAAGGCATAATGTCATTCAATGGAATAACTTTTCTGCTCTAAAAATCAAGCGAAAGAGCCCATGATGTCGAGTTTGTGTTTGGATAACGAGCGAAAGAATCACTAAAAAAGAAAACCCGAGTCACCCGAGAATTCGATCGAATGAACCCTAATTGTACAGTTTAGATTGAGTCGTCAACTTTTTGGGTTGTGTCGGTTCATGGGTTCTTCTAAAATTAGAAACCTCTCTCCAGTAGAAACAATACAACGGGCTAAAATGGACAATGTTGGCTAGCGGTGGACTTGGGTCATTACAAATGGGATTAGAACCAAACATTGTGCCAATGAAGACGGTGGATCCTCCAAAGGGGTGGATTGAGAGATCGAAAAAACGAAACATTCCTTATAAGGGTATAGAAACCTCACCTTACTAGACACGTTTTAAAATCGTGAGGCTGACAGTAATACATAATGGGATAGAGAATAATGTTTATCAGTGGTGGACTTGGGCCATTACAAATGGGATCAGAGCTAGACACCAGACAATGTGCCAATGAGAACATTGGACCCTCCAAAAGGATGAATTGTGAGGTCGAGAAAACGAAGCATTTCTTATAAGGGTATGAAAATCTCTCCTTACTAGACACATTTTAAAATCGTGAGGATGACAACAATACATAACGAGGCGGACAATGTTTGCTAGTGGTGAACTTAGGTCATTACAAATGAGATCAGAGCCAGACACCAGACATTGTGCCACTAAGGACGTTGGACCCTCCAAAGGAGTGGATTGTAAGATCGGGAAAACAAACATTCCTCATAAGGGTATAGAAACATCTCCCTACTAGACACGTTTTAAAATCGTGAGATTGACGACAATACGTAACAAGTCAAAGCGGATAATATGTGCTAGCAATAGACTTAACAGTTCAAAAAATATCTCAACTTGATCCGACCTAAACTCGAGAGGGCCTGTGTGGGTGTGGAGGGACAAGTGTTTAAAGAGAATGGCGGTTGTTGGCTAAGTCAATGACAGAGAATAAAGTAGAGAAGAAAAGGAATAAAGAGAAGAGATGGGCATCAATTTACAACTTTAAATATAATGAGAATAACTTTGGTGCCAATTACGAGGCTGTTAAAACAACACAACATACCTACAAAATATTGCTAATTACGAGATCTATTATATTCAAAAATTAACCCGAGTCGTTCTGAGCATATCTATTGGTTAAGATATTAAACGTCACCAAATCGTCCGTCCGTCGATGCCTTTAACATCAAAGAACATGTATTATAGTGTATGTACGGACTCATTCAAACTACAAACAGAATCAAAAGAAAATATAAATTTTTCCTTTCATGAATTTTAAAATTTTGACTAGAAAAAATTCTCCATCGATTGAGGGTAGGGGTGTTCATATGACTCGAAAACTCGACTATGACTCGTAAACCCGACTAACCCAAACTATATGTTACAACACAACCCAATAAAAAAAATAGAAGGTTGGGTTGTGAACTCTGTCTAGTTGTTCATATCACCGATCCAACTAACCAAAAATTTTAAATTGATCTAAAAGATTTTACCCACTCAACTTAACCCGACTCGTGTGATTAAAAAAGTATTAAGATTAATTATTATTATTATTATTTTTGGGTATAAATGACAAAAAGAGGATGCAATTAAAAGAAAGGTACTTTCAATATGATTGAAGAGGCACCAAACATACAAAGGGCAGCCAATTAGTGAAGTAGTGGAGACCAATAATGTGGTAGTGGGGCTATGAATTTGAAATACGACACAATTTAGTGTGACGTGATAACATTATTTCCTCGTCGCTTTCAAGAGTGTATACTATTATCTTCCCAAATCAACACGAGTCTTTTTAGTATATTTTGTTCTCACTCAAATAAGTTAAACACGTTTAACTTTAGAATTTTTATAATTTAGTCACTGAAAAGAAATGTTCATTTTGAATTTTTATAATTGAGTGTTCGATATGGCTTTATTCAAGTACTACTATTTAGGAGTCTCGTATTTTATTGTAACTACGGTTTAGCGGATACGAAATTGATAACAGGTGTAACTTCCTTTGAGCACCATTTTAACGGTTCATACCTTAGAGCCGTTTATATCGATCGAGTTAAAAAAAAACGTTGCATAGGTTACATATCTCTCCAAAAAGAAACGTTCATACCTTAGAGCCGCTAACTTAGAAGATACTTTCAATTAAGTCAAAAATTTGAATCTTCACCTGAAGTAGTCTCAAATTTACTTAATGGGGAAGGCATATGGTATTGGGCTATGGGTACCATTTTGGTTCCCTTTTTTTTTCTTCTCTTCAATAAGGAATACAAACTAAGCCTTTCAATATTCCCCTCATTGCCTCCACTCACTTTTCTTCCTCATATCTCAATTAATATTATTTATATATATAAAAATTAATTACAAATTTTATAAAGTTGGCATAAATAAAGGGATTGCCAATTTACCCGACTTACCCATTCAGTGATTCTGGCATTGGACGTTCCAAAAATAGGTACTACTGAGTTGGGTGAATTCAATAATAGACGTCTGTTGGCATTCCAGCCTTCTTTCTCCTTTCCGGACCTACCCGAAAGAGAATCCAGTGTTTCTTGGTCATGAATATCTGAATAGGACGAACCGCCCCGTAGCTAAGACTAATATATTATTCTAATTTTCAACCTTTTTTATATTTACCATATTCTAAAAATATTTATCTTTGTTTAAAAAATTTTATATTTATCTAATAAGTTTACGAATTTTTGTATGTTCTATTAAGTACAAAACTATAAGTTCAAAAATATATTTGTCTTTTTAAAATTTAGGGATCGGTGAGACACAAACATGAAATAAATTTGTAATTTAACATTCAGTTCTTTATTTGACGCTAAAAGCACAAGTTTGAGATATAGATGTTCATATAACTTGCAAGGACCCGTCGATGGTGGAGCATGAGAGAAACCGCTAAGAGATTTCTCATTTTAACTAAGGAGGGAGGGCCAGAGATTATACCAAATCTAACTCTACAACCGCGACACTTCCACCGTAACCAGATCTAACTCTTTGTAGCCACAGCCACAACACTTTCATCGAAACTAGATCTAACCCTTTGTAGCCACAGCCATAACACTGCCAAGTTGATCCCGAACAACGACGCTAAATCGGGTGACCTAAGATTTATCTTAAAACGCTCAAAAGCCTCAAAAGAACCTCTGGAAAATACAATCATGGAGCAGTAGGACCAGGTCCAAGTAGTAGTAGGTTGGGTGGCCTAATAATGGAGCCAATTGTACCGTTGAAAAAGGTAGTTTCTTTCTTTTTTCACACATACCAGCAATTTCCAAACAAGTGCTCGCTCTTTTCCTGTCCATACTATACTATAATTCAAAAAACATTAGACAAACAAACAGACAAGGCAACAGACCATGGAGCTGGAGGATTTGGAGCGGTGGTTGGACCTCAATTTTCAAATGGCAGGAGCGTGGCTTCCTCTGCACTAATGCCTCTCCACTTCCTATAATAATGGAGCATAGGTCGTTGGATGTTTCCCCATCTCCCTGCTGCTGCTGCTGGTTCCTCCTCTTGTTGGGTTTTCTTTGCTTCTGCGAGGCCTCTCAAACCTCGCAGGAACAAAGAAACCCATCCCCAGCAGCTGAAAGAAAGACATATCATATCATAAAGCATTACAATTACAGATATCAATCATGGGTGGTCTCCAGTCCTCTGTTAGAGCCAAGAGGCTTTGGAATGTTCTCAAGGTAACGCTTATTCTAATGGCAAGAAAGGGTCTGATCTCAAAGAGAAGGTTCATCATGGACATGAATTTGATGCTGAAGAGAGGGAAGCTGTTCAGAAAATCTTTCACCAGCTACTTCATGTTCCATCACCACCACCACGGTTCCAGTGCTGGAGACATGACGTGTGGCGGTTTCGGCATACAGGACTACGAGTTTTCCTGCAGCAACACTCCCATTAATCCTGTTTTTTCCCACATGTCAAAGCGCAGTGCCAAATACCACGCTTACTTCCCCTGTATCAACCTTCCTGTGGAGATGGAAACAAAGCAACAAGAAGAAGAAGAAGAAGGTTCAGACCCAGAAGCCTGGGCGGCGTTTACTTTACTACCCATGACTCCTGAGAACACAGTAAATCACTGGAAGTATAATGCTTTAAGTCCTGCAATGGAGGGGGCAAGCCCACTCGTTTCCCCGTTCAACGTACGGATATCCAACTATTCGTCTGAGGAAGAAAATGAAATTAGCAGTGAAAGTGGACAAGTGGATAATCAGGCTGAGGAATTCATTAGAAGGTTCTATGAACAGCTGAGGACGCAACGACGCCTGCAACTACTGCAATATAGTTAATTTAAGCTAATTCATTCCCCTTGCTGTTGTGTGGTTTGAAGAAATTCTACATGTTATTCTTTCATCAGTTATGACAATATAATAAATCTATGTAGGGAAAAGGAAAAAAGACAGAAGAGGTTGTTTATGCGTACAACTGAAAGCTGATTTTCATGGATGAGCTCCTTCCCAATTTGGTTTCAGGAAACTAACAGCACTAAGCTATGCATAGAAATCGATACAAGAGCCTAATATGTTTCTCTACATTATTCAAGCAACTCGAACATACTTAGTAAGTTGATTGCGCTAATAATCGGGTTGACTGTGCCCACACCAACATTTGAAGGTAGTATCAGAGGGCACGATTGGAGGTTACTTGCAACAACAAAGAGGTGCAGACACTAGACATGGAATATTAGTTCCAAGTCTTAAATTTGGCAGAGTTTCAATATAATAGAAAAAGTACCTCTCTCTCTTTTCTTTCATGTACATCTATCTTCTAATATCAGAGAGGAGATGATTAGGATCACACTAGCCAATTGTTATTTGTCACATAGCTTGATGAAAGTTATTCCTCACAACTCAACTATGATTTGTTAGAATGTAAGCGAGTCATGTGCACTACTTGAGACTTGCTATGACATTGTTAGTGGGTAGAGGATAGGTTGGCGCAATGGAATATGATGGCACATAAACTATTTACTAGTCATGTCGTTTGACACCCTAATGACTTTCTAACTTGGTTGGATTACAAGCTATGTCACAATGGAGGATAGGTCGCTTCATACAAAACAAAGTAATCCAGAAAATGAATATCCGATCTCCGTCTCACTTGGTTGGATTACAAGTTATGTCTCACCTAATAGTTTGTGGTGTCACCTAAAAAGGTTATGGTCACCTAGACCTTCTGGTCTTACCTAAACTATGACAAACCTAATTACTTTTGATCTCACCTAAGCAACGATCGTTTCGGGGTTGTGGCTTTTGATCTCACTTGGTTCGGCTACGTTTTCATGTATCCATTATGTGGCCTAGCTAAACTGTGTTCGTAAGGTACGTCAACATCTTAAAGACAAGCATTTAGGGTATCCAACCAGCAGAGGAAGAGATCCCCTTGTTCACCTAACTAACAGGAAGACTTGCAAGAAGTCCAACCATCTTCAAGCAATGCAACCAAAGAGACCCTCTTATTCTTGATGTGTTAAGAAGTCACTGTTTCAATTAGCTGTAGTCTCTCTGTCTCTATATATTTTAGACAGCATTATTGGGTGATCTCCTATGTGTGTCTGTGAGTTGGGGAATAAACAATCTCAATCAGGAAGACTTCAACACAGGAAACGCGGATTTGATCTTTTCAATTTCTGATCATTGGAATGTACAAGAATTTCAATAATTCCTGTTTCCTTGTTTCTAACTTCTTGATTTGGTATTTTTTTTCTTTTATTTTCACCCCTTTTGGGAGATTACTATAACGACCTAGGCCCACCGCTAGCAGATATTGTCCTCTTTGGGCTTTCCCTTCCGAGCTTCCCCACAAAGCTTTAAAACGCGTCTGCTAGGGGAAGGTTTCCATACCTTTATAAATGGTGTTTTGTTCTCCTCCCCAACCAATGTGGGACATCACAATCCACCCCCCTTCGGGGCCCAGCGTCCTCGCTGGCACTTGTTTCTTTTTCCAATCAATGTGAGACCGCCACCAAATTCACCCCCTTCAGGGCCCAGCGTTCTTACTGGCACACCGCCTCGTGTCTACCCCCATCGGGGAACAGCAAGAAGGCTGGCACATCGTCCGGTGTCTAGCTCTGATACCATTCGTAACGACCCAGGCTCAGTGCTAGCAGATATTGTCCTCTTTGGGCTTTCCCTTTCGGGCTTCCCCCAAGGCTTTAAAACGCGTCTACTAGGGGAAGGTTTCCACACCCTTATAAATGGTGTTTTGTTCTCCTCCCCAACCAATATGGGACATCACAATTACGATGAATAATTTGGAAAGAATTGAGTTCAAGATGGGCTCTTAAAACTAGTTGAAATGGTTCCAAAGAACCTTTGCAGACGTTAAATTCATATTCAACCACCTAAATTCTGCTACGTATGCTACCTCTATTACATGATTGCTAGGAGTTTTAGACAATTATCATGATAGACTTCTTATTCCAATTATCAAAGGTATAAATTTATTTATCTTTTAGTATAACTCTAAAAGAGAGGCATGGTTCCAAGATGTTCAGAAAGGAATCGTTATGAAAAATATTAACTTGCTTTACGAGAAAAGAATTGTTCTCCATAATATATAATATTGTCTTGTATAATTTCTATGTAAGAACATGCGTGGTAACTGGTATATTAAATTCTAACTACTATAGCTATAGAGAAAAGGCATTGGTCTAATACTCCAACCCAATTTTTCTTTTAATGCTACTCCTATTCAAAGGTTTTGGGAGAAACCTATGTTTGTGTTGACCACCACCTTCGGATCCTCATCATCCAACGAGATCTTACTCCAATCAGGCTTCCTCATCGAGAAAAACTTGGAGCGGTCGAACCCAGTTCCTCGAAAGCCAGTCATCCTTGATGACATCATAGGCATCACAAGTACTGCTGATGCACTGAGTGAATCTTCTCCAAAACCCAGAGAAAGTGCTAAAGCAGCCTGCAAAGAGAATAAGATGGCATAGAGTTAAACCGTTCAAACATGTCGACCAAGTAAGCTTCTAAAATCACCAATGTTTGACTCCAATACCTTCGCCTTAGCTGCTACATCTGTAATCTTTAACAAGAATCCTTGTGAAAATGATCTTGCGTCCCTAGTCTCTAGTTCTTTGGATGACACAATTAGTCTGCAGATGGAAAAGATGCAACAGAATGGGTGAAGAGGGAGGTGCAGATCAAATGGCAGAACGTCCCAGCACTTCATCTATCATAGATTTTTCATTGTACAATACTTTACGACATTCATAAAATAAACCCAAACAAGTACGCATTTTTAATAGCCCTGGCTTCACTGCTGAGAAATTCTAGTTTAGAACTAACATTGCCCCCACAAAGAAAAGGTTTTAGTACCAGATATCTTCATTACAAACAGAAAGTGATTTTGAACTCAGAATCAATGGAAAAAATAATGTCATATAAGCATGCAAAAAAATTGTTGTACCTCTCTTCTTCTGCTGAGAAGCTAGTAGACGTCCCGGATACCAACGAATTATCTTTGAACTCACCGTCTGAAATTCATGTTCCAATCAATCTCTCACATTTGCAATGTAATCCAAAATTTAAATTCTAAATTAAAATACCTCTAGGCTCATCAGGAGCTAGCAAAGAAATGCCTATGAAAACCGACATCATTCCTAGTATGAACATCGTCGTTCTCAAAGCATCAAGCACCTGAATAGAAGAGATAATACAAAGGCAAGCTTATTACCTAAACTGAATTCATGCTTGAGGCATGGACAGAATTTAAGGGCAACAGGCAGCATGACATTGAAATCAAAGGTTAAAAAAGCGCATGGTTAGACAATTATCACTTTATTTACCGCTTAATACAAAGAGTGAAATGGGACTATTTTCAAAATATATGATCAATACCATAGTTATTGTGTCATGAAAGAGGACAAAAATAAAGATAACTGGGTTACTTGTTGACTCATACAAGAAATATGAATCTCATTCCTGAGAAGTTAAGAAGGTAATAACCAGAGAACTCATCTCAGCCCACAAAATGCTACAAACTTGTTTAAAAGATTGCTAGTCCCCAGGAAACCACTACAATTTATGATCTAAGCCGATTGACATAGCTTTGATCCAATGCTATACAAACCATTTTCCTAAGAACATGCATATACTATTTAGTAGGTTCAGTATATCATAACCAGTGTCATTCAAGCACACGGTTCTTTTCATGTATTCCTCCCTCCTCCTCCCCCCCCCCCCCCCCC